TTTTGTTTTGGTTTACTTTTTGAAGGCTTTTTTCGTTTCCACTGTTTTTTCTGATAGTTAGAAATATATATATATATATAGCTATTTTCTTTTGTTCTGAATTAATAAACTTTTTATAAAAACCTTTGTAAACGTGTTTATAGTGTACAGAAGACCATACGTTCTCAAAGTGCGCATATTTGAATGGGAACACTACATTCTTCGGAAAAGGGCACGTTCTCAACCTATACTTTTTTATCGCCAATGTTGTAGATGTTTAACGCAAAGGCATCTATTTTAAAACGTGCGATTTCTAGAGGAAGTTATTGCGAAGGCATTTGTAGTCTTTAGGAAGAATAAGCTTAGATATTGTGCTTATTTATCAATGTATAGAGTATTTCTCAGGATAGAATACGCACTACTAATCCGTATTTTTAAAACATCGTACTGATGTCGTAGAACTTTCACCAAAAATATTTACTTAACAATCGTCAACTTATACAACCAGCACCTATCAATAATTAACCCTAAACAATCAGCACGGGTCGACAGGTCACCTTTCTCACATTTTTTGCACTTCTGACATGTAATCAACACTTGGTACGTCTTACAATAATCAAATCTCATTTATTAGTTCTCATTATAACAATATACTTTATGAAAGCCCTACCTATAGTGTACAGTTCTCAAGTCGAATGTCTATTAAGTTTGACCACTTCCTCGTTATCTTTCTCTCATCGAAATAATGTTGTTCGTCATCCTCCGAATCGCTGTCTTCAGGGCTGTCATCTGCGACGAGTAAATTGCTGCCCATGTTGTCTTCTGCATGGTCACCAATCTCCTCATTGTGACTGTTGGTAAGAAAGCAATCGAACAGTGTTTGATAGTCTTCATCTTCATACATGACGCCACTAAAATTTATACTTTCGAACAATTGCAGACGGCGTACTATGTTGTAGTAAGTGGAATACGGCGATTAAACATGAGAAGGACGCACAATAAATTAACGTACAGGAACAAAACCGGCAGTCTCCGAAATGAAACGAAAACAACTAGAAATTGGATACCTTATACACCATTTGGGATTCCTAGATTTCGATTTTCTTCTGCACTCCTTTCGGCTTTTTTTTCTAGGTGTTCGAGTGCTAGTGATTCACTGTCTCCCTATTCCTCCTCAAATTACGGTAATTGCGGCACCAAATGTGAAATGACTACTTGAAAAGTAGCGAACCTGTGTGGATAGCATATACCAAGCGGTCAAAAGGTGAGCATCTTTAGATCTAATGTATGCATCAATGTGTATACATTTGTATAAACCTTGGTAATGGAAAAAAATTAGTGAAACTCTTGGCGTCGATCAATACCTGAGGGATGTGCCATGCATTCGAATTCACGAAGGTGATTGGAGGTAATTGAATGTATATCTGCCTTTTACAATGACTAACGGCGGCCTGTCGATATGTTGAGCTAGTGTTGCTATCCTCCCAGATAAGTCTGGTACTAATTTGCCGACCCTGGAGGGTTGGAAGCCTTGGTGAGCCGCGTGCGAGTAGATCGATCCCATGGGTTTATCGTAGGACGCTTCCGACTGCTGCGTCACATGCACCCTTTATATATATATATATATATATATATATACATATACATATATATATGCGTATATGTGTATATATATATATATAATTTATACGTACATGATACGAAATATAATAAGTGATATGCAGTGCATGTTGTTGGTCTTCCTGGCCACAGAAGTACTACAGAATCTGGTGTATTGTGTTCACTTAGCTAGGATGAATCATGGTTATCATACGGAGTAAGCGATTATATATTAACATTAATACCCATGAAACGATTGCGCAAACTTACTTCTTTAAGTCTGTTAAGGTCCCAACTGAAGTACACTAGATATTGAAGAAGTGTCAAAAATTGTCGAAGAATTGGCATGCCACGCAGGGTGAAGCATTATTTTTGAAAAGCAATTCTTCGTTCTCTGGTTTTCAATCGTCATGACGATTTCGGTGTAATCTATGGAATGGGAATGCTTACACAGCTTCATTAAATGCTGACAGCACTATGAGATATAGTGGTGAAGTTTTCTTTCACCACAGGCAAGAGTTGTATACGGTGAAAGAACATGTTAGCATGAGCAGAAGATCACAGCCGATACGTTAAAGTTAGAGAAGCATAGAAAATATATTAGGGAATCGAACAATTCAGCGACAATCTTAAGGAGCCTGTGCGCGGATCGGTGGGCCATACACCTTGATTTCAATGCGCATTTCAATTGCGTCCCGTGGTACGCGGACCAACGGGCCAGATTGCGGCAATGATAAGAGGTCGGTGAAGAGCCAAGACAGGATAACGTTTTTTTTTTCAGAATCATCTCTATTTAATTTTCTGTACTGTGTCGTGTACATGATTTCAAATACTGAGAAAGATGTGTATGTAGCATAAGCGCTTGTGCCTTCACTGTCCAGGAGGATCAAGTCCTTTCACTTATCGTATAGGCCTTTCTCTGTTTTCGACTTAGGAAAACATTCGACGCCATCCTAAATCATCAACCTGATACTTCTACGGTACACTAGTGATGACACTATAAGCGTACTCACAGTGTAGTGGTGCGGTGCTGCATTGAAGAAGATCTGACCTCGATACCATCACGAAACCATATCGAGAGGAGGAGCGGCAATGGACCAGCGACTCGTATTGTGTGCTGTTAAGAAGAAGACGTCGAAACATCATCTGAGTAAACCTCGTCATCATCTTCGTGTTAGCTTAGTAATCCGACAACGTACCAATAATGTTGTATGTCGAAATGTATAAGAGATTCGTCGTCCTCCTCAGTGTCCCCATCACCTGCGACTGCTTAATTTTCACTTTCGACCAGGAGTCTATCGATGATGAAATCTAATTCAGTTTAGCCGGCACATTGTTAAGACGTGTGAAATCCAGTTTCTGGCGTCTAGGTGATTGTTATCATCGTTCTAATTGTACTGCGTACGTACTCTGTTAAGATTAAATTGACTCTTTGCTTTACTTGTCAGCATGACTCGGTAAAGGAACCAAGTAGGTAGGTTTAGTAGGTTTTACAAGAACTAACAAAGTGAGTTGGTTGTGAATAGCATGTTAAAGGTTGAATGAACGTTTATTGAATCGTGTGGCGACTACCAACGGATCTCCTACAGAGAATAATTTTACAGTGGTGAGTCTCCAGGTTGCGGAATGCTTCCTCGGATTGAGGGTAGGATATAAATCACAGACAAGACCGACCTGTTTCCTAGTTCCCTAAGAAGGAGATGGATCTATAGGGAGGTGCGACTACATGCGGCAATTCGACCCGTTCCTTCTACATTTACATACGTTCATGCATATGTGCAGGAGTGCGCTGGCGTATAAGCAACTTGCCAGTCACTTGCATGGATAAGTAATGGCCTGCATTCCCTACGGGTGCGGGTTCCGGCACATTTCACATTTGTTACCTAATCGTGCAGTCGTGGTTCAAGGTGATGGGTTGCTTCGAACAGTGATGTATGAGACACATCCAGTGATCCAGAAACCGCTTCCATCTGCCAATGCAGTTGGTTGACGTAAGCAGCGAACGTGTATCTCTAGTAGTCTTTTCTATTCTTTCTTTCCCATATTTGTCATTTGTTCTTGCAGATATATGGGCGAATCATCTATGCTTCGTTATCGATGTATACTCTCTTGGATACTGAATACGCGATAGGCCTCCTCTAAAGTTTGAACTATGCGAAATTGCTTCCTTATTTTTCTTGGAATTGTGAGATAGTTAGATTACGACGATTACAGCTATTCATTCTAGTCATTCACATTTCATATGACAGAACCGCCATAATCTTAATCTTACGACTCGCATCTTTCTCACACTTCAGCGATTCCAGTGACGACACATAGACGACGATTTACGTATCGACAAAATTCGAAGAATTTGTAACAAGCCTATTCCAGTAATTGAAATCCTGGAGCTTCCACTATAAGTTCTAAATGATTGCACGAAAGCAAGAATTTCGCTTAGTTCACCTTCTGCCCGAAATGCATTGCTGATGTTCACACGTGCAACATTAGCGCTATTACTGAAAAACCGAGATCGCCGTGAATTCCTCGGGTGCACCAGAACAGATGGTTTCCCCTGCTTCTATACTGTGAAGTAGTATTGTTCAAGTGCGATGACAGATTTCTCAGGAACAACAGCAATACGCAGATACACGATTGCGTCTGTTAAACAACCGTTTTTTTTCATTCCATATTTTCAGCTGTTCACATGTGATTACAAGGCAAATCAGCACTTATCATTCTTGCTAAATCGAAGCGTTAAAACCACCAAAGTGAGCAGATATGTTTATTACACTGAGATCGATAGCTGAGTGATAACTCCAAACCTATTAAGAGCATATTTCTCACTGATATTAGATGAAACTAGATAGACCTAGCGATTTATAGCGCTAAAAACGACGTCAACAATTTGATGCAATCGTTGAGAAATTGCGTAATTAGAAAAATCAACATTCATAACAAAATAACGTGAAGCGAAAGAACACATCACGCAGGAAATAAACTGAGATACGTAATAACTACATTGTCAAGGTCAAAACTCCACCTTAATCCTAGATTTTCTGTAATATCACAAGAAAAAAAGTTTGTCACGTAGTTCCTTGTTGACTTCCCCGTGGACTGACTGAGCCATCATAGATGCCAGCTTAAAAGCGTATTGGCACAGTGCCGGTACTCTCACGGTACCTTGCCAATTATAGTATAGATGACAAAGCTTGAAGGCAAGCTGAAAACAAAAGTAAAAGTAGAAAAACACTAATTCTATGGAACACCAACCCTGTGATGGTCATCTGGCGAAAGTCCAGTATCGTCGTAGATTACGGTATAGCAAACTGGTTTCGCTGTTCCCAGGCCAACGTGGCTCGGCACCAAGTAGAATTCATTTTTTTCGGCACGAGTAATGGTTGAGTTAACAACGGTGCCAGGACTGGGGTTTGTAAACGTAGAATCTGCTCCGCATTTGAAAATCCTTACGTTGATATTTTTCGTTACAATGATAACAGCTAATTTCATTCGATGACAAGTGGGCTTCAATCCAGAGCTCGTAATCGCTTCTCTGCAAGCTTGTTGCACCAAGCTAACCTGAATATTGAAGCGTTGAAACAAAACAAAACAGGGATAATTTGAAAACTATAACCCCCTGCTCTTTAAAAGAACCAATTTGTTCTTCATCTACGCCATCACAATATAAAAAAATCTTCTCAGGAAGAGTTCGGTCGTTATTGATAAAGTATTGGTATAGTGCCCCTAGAAAGTAGAATCTGTACAAATCGCACCAACAACAAAAGACATCCCACATATTTAAAAGTGCATTTTAGCCTCAGAAACTAATTTAACGGGTAAAGTTGCTTCGCAATCTTATTACTGCTACGATGTTAAAACACAATGAAATCTCCGACACATTTAAGACAAATCGCTTTGCTCATTAGGACAAAAAGAAAACGAATTTAAATGAGCTCTTAATATTGCTTTTGCCGTACCAAAACTCATCCTTTTATACCCATTGCATCCAAGAAAAGTTTGTACGGCTCATTCATAAAAGGGATTACACATGTTAGCACGAACATACCATTTTGAAAACAACACAGTTCAAACAATACCACCAGAAGAAACTTCTAGGGATCCGCCAACAGAGTGATATATGCAGCCCTCTCAAGTAGTTCTGTTCACCAATTAGCAAAATGAGACATAACGGTCCTATCCTCATTGTAGACCGAAGCAGTGCAGCTAGTAGAAGAGAGGATACGGTCAAATGACTGTCATATGTTTGTATATTTCCGAACGCACACTCCGAATACAATCCCTCCTATCGAAAACTTTCGAAAATTCGATAATTAAAAACGAGTCGTTGATGAATTAAACAAGGCTATCCACTGCTAATAAGGAACTTCGAAGCCTCACAATGCTTTCGCGATGAAATTGTTGGGAATTCAAAAAACTCAAGTGATTTTGTTCGTATTTTTTGAGCAAACGCGAGGTGTTATTGTTCTTTGTTCACGATTAAGCTGACGTTTCGGCGAATTTCGCCTTCTTCAGAGCCTGGAAAGGTCAAGTTGATAGCAACTCACTCGGCCAGACGCCTCCATAACCAAACAAAGAAACCCCAAACCAAGATTTCAATCACTTTGAACACAGCTTTGCACACTCACCACTCACACTCAAAAACTCACTTTTAACGAAAAAACCTAGATTTGCAACGGGTTCATTCGAGTTCTCATGCGAGCGAGTCTGACAATAAAACTTTGTGTAGTCCTGATCCGTTGTCGACACGCATGCACCAGTTTGTCCATGAAGTATTGGGTCGCAGTAGTGGTAGTATCCGACAAACAATGCGTTCTTGACCTATAAACTCCTCCTGGAAGATGTCTTCACAAAGATCGCTCATGAATAAAGTCATTTTCACTCTCTAGCAACATCCAGGACAGCGAAATTACTTCCTGTGACGTTCACCGAATAATGGAAAACTATGTGGTAACACCAAAACATGATTCAAAAACGAAAACAAAACCACGCACTGGAATATTCATTTTCCACGGGGCACCACCCATCTTACAGTTCATCTGCAACACTATCTTACGCACGATTGAAATAAAATTCCTGTTGCGGCCACGTTCTTGACGCCCACGCAACGTAGCCATCTGGATACATTGGGATGGAACTAAATTGAAGACTAGAAGTTTGCATCATTTCAAAGGTATCTGTTCAAAAAATGACATATCGTGCATCGAAAGTCGAACAACATCATTTGGTTATTTCATAGATTACTTAAAAGTTTTAAAAGAAAGAAAAGACCTTGCCAAATAATTCTGCAGCCTACAAAGTTATACTTAACCACATTAAGAAACAAACACGGATTACAGGCAAAGAACAAGTGAATCGTAGAAAGTTCAAAATGACCGTAAAAGGTTTGCAGCCCCACCGTGGTTGGCGCGATTAGTAGGCGTCGAGAAGCTGTGTAGATGAAGTTCACCTACAGCAGAAACCTTCAGGCTGAGGAGTTCACGATCGCCACCCAAAAGGCCAGTTAAGAGTGAATAAATGCGGAGGTTACCATCCAGTTTTAGCAGGAAAGTACTTGCAAAAAGGCAGAGTTGATAAAGGGCAGGTTAGCCGGAAATTTAGAGAAAAGGTGCTAGAACCACCCACTTTAGTAAAAATACCGATGGCACTTATTACTTTTAAGGAACTAGACTAGACAATAAGTAATTAGGCAGATTTGCTCAAAAGGCCTTGGCATTGCATATGAACGCCCTAAATCCAAAAACCACAGCTTTGAAAAATTCTTCAAACAAACTCCTTTTCCAGATGAAGTATCTTTCATTAAAAACTTAAATAATGTATGCACACAAAACCCACTGTTCGTTTTCGTACATAGCCAGCTCTTAAGTGAGTCATATCGCGTTTTGTTGTCGTCGGGAAGCAGAATCACCATTATTTGGATGGTTTCAGGATCAGTCTAAAGAATGAAGCACAGAAAACATTCTCATTTCATACAGCACTCACTCTCTCCATTGCCTCAACAACAGCACTATGATACGAGCTCGTTGTTGTGTCGCTACAAGTTTGAAGCAATGGATGATTTACTGCAATGTGCATGGACTTCCCGAAATCCTTTACTGTTTCTGGAACGTAAAAAAAGTTGAAAGATGACGTGAGGAACATAAAAATACGTACCGATAAATTGGCAAGCCATATCTTGAGCCATGGCCGTATTACAGAAGACTACCACCCAGTTTTCGAGATGCATTCCTCGGAAGCATCCATTATAGTGCATAACCCTCCCCATATCAGCCCTTTTGCCAAAGTACCCTTGCGGATGAATTCCTATGAACTGAAATAGCATACGTCAACATTTCTGTACAAAGGAACGCGTTAACTGCCGCACCTTTTCCGCCTCTAATTCCCACGAATGGAAACTGACAAGCCGTTCCGTTAATTCAATGCCCCACTTCAGCAGCAATATCCGGCATTTATCGTTGTTACGAATTCTCCTCAAGAGGTTCTCAGTTTTCTTGCGTCGCTTTTCTGGATCCATAACGGTGTGGTGTGAAAATTCCTTCATAAAACGGAAATTTTGTCTCATAGTATCAGTAAGGCCAGTAGGGAAACATAGCTCCGGAAGCAGATACACGACGCATGGCAAACTATCCGCCTGTTTCGTCCTCCACTCGCAAATCTAAACGGGTGATCTTCACTTATACTACCACAACTATTACATGGGCATATCATAGTACAAGAAAACTCATTACGTATACGAAGTGCAAAGCTTTTTTATGCATATGATTGTAACACAGATAAACCGAAAATAAACAAAGTAATACATTCACGTCATTATTCTCAGTCCTTTCGTAAAGCTTTGTGCTCAAAATTAGAATAATGCAACTTACAATAACTGGCTGTTCCGACTGCGTAACTGTCAAGTTGTAATTCTTCTCGAAATATTCTTTGAGGGTGGTGATTGAACCATCCGGAAGTGTGAAAGTGGATACTGGTGACATCCCATAGTTGATAGACGTAACTCTGTACATCTTATTATTGTAGCTGAAAATAAGTGCAACAAATGCTGACCCAACATCCATGCCCACACAAAGGCAGCAAAACTGACCGCGTGCAAACGGTCGCTCCAACAAGCATTTCATCCATTTTGGCATGAAACCTTTTAGGATTTCGTCTCACACGCTCGTATTCGTAACTCATCTGAATGATACTGCATTCATAGTCCGTGTAATGTCAGTGTATTTCATATTAAGAAGAAGATCTTTAAAAACTGACTACGTCCCACACGGATTGCGTACGAATAACCCTGAAGCGATTTTCAATGCACAACATAAGGCGATTTTCACACTGCTTTATTGCAGTTTCGAATCCGGGCCAGAGTTCGATATGGCATTCTCTGAGTTCTATCTTCTCCTGGTCATCATGGTGGCTTTTACCCACTCGTTTCAATCCGATCATATCCATGCAGCTATAAGTAGTCTTCTCGTTCTACGCCGATCTTTAAAACACCGAAGTTGTTAATGATATCGGAGAACGTTATATGAACCTGGCCTATTACAATGTAGATATAACAGACATATCCACGCAAACACACTACTGAACGCGTAGAAATATCCATTCTAGCAAGCAGTGGAATACCTTTTCATGACGATGTTATAGCAAACGATTGCCTGTGGATGATTCTGTCTGAGTCGAGTTGATGAATGAAGGCGAATGTTGATTTCCTCACTAGTGTTCGGAAGACGAGCCATGTACATCCCCTGGATAATGAAATTGATAAGGGTGGAGTTACAACTTCTACTCCATGAACAAACCTCGAGCTTCGTGCTACTGGCTGCGTACAGTGCTGTACCATTAAAGACAAATGCACTGTCAAGATCCTCCTGTATGTGGCGTTGCTCCATTAGCCGATGACGAACAGCCTTAGATTCGACAGGCGGATCAAATTCTACACGATACTCACATACCGCCAGATCAGGTTGTTGTTCAAGTGGCAGAAAATTTGCTACGAACAGTGTCGGCTCGCCGTGTATTCCTGCAATTATGCAGTTAATTCGACAATCTTCGAATTTAAGCACTCTGGTAAATCCTTAACACTCACCAGCATACTACAATCCAGTGATCATAAGAACCACAAAGCGAGAATTGTTGTGAATTACGTGAGATTGCAATTTTAAGGAACAAAGGATAAAGAGTGTTCGGATTTTATAAACCCCTTAGCGCTGTACCATGCATTCGATTTGATCAAGCATCGTAGAAATTAGTGAATGCACCTCTGGCCCATACAATGGATTGTGGTAGTCTACTGATGAATCACATTGGTGCTACTATACCACCAACACCTGCCGTGTATCAAACTGCCAACCGCACAGGAATGTAGGTTTTGACAAACTCGAAGCGCAGAATTGAATCAAGGAGCGATCTCCGTGTGCATTGCAGAATACTTATAAACACTGCGCTATACACAGTCAAGAGATTGCAGTGTATTGTAGCAAATACGTTCGCTAATTTCAAAAACGGAAATCGATTGACTTCTTACGTATGGTGGCCACGGGACAACGCCACGGAATAATATCTCATTCGTCAATGTGTTGAACGCTCGCCAAGCACTCTTCAGGGATCAGAAGTGAGCTGGTGCTGATTTCTTCAAAGCAGACTCCCCGTCTATCTTCGTTCTACATCTTGTCACAGCTTAACCTATCGCTTCTCTCACGTACCCAAGCTTAATGCACCTCCAGTTCTTCCCTGAATTCCACGCTTTTCTACAGTCCTCTCCGCCGTCCCATTATCCTTTTTTCTGTATGTACTGACTTTTAAAGTATAACGCTTATCGCTTTTTTCGAACGTGAAGAGAACGAGGATTTTTAAGAGCAAAAGAATCCCCACTAATCCTCCGACAGCCATTCAAAAACAAGGCCGTTATTACTAATGTACCTCATTGAGGAGACTAAATTGTGGCAAGAGCGCTAGGTTTTCTGTAGTTGAACGTTGAATGTTTATTCTTAAAACGTTAAGCTTGTGTTATTGAAATATCACAGAAAAAGAACGTGCATGTGTTTTCCTATAGAAAATATGGATCTTAATATCCTAGTGGCTAAATAGAGAAACTTTACCTGTTTTATCGAAGCCGTCAGGTAAACCTGTGATCTGACAACGTCGGTTCGCTCGGGGGTTCCCCATCTCACAGCTTAAAACATGATTTTTGCTATGATTCATAGTTGGGAAGAAGTGCCAAATCTCACAACGAACATACCTGCTATCCCCTCCTTCAGCAAGATTACAGTCGTTTTTCTAAAGGAAAATAATCACGGGCAAAACTAATTGACTAGTTGTAAGCATGTAGATTAATCGTTTGACTTACGTCACTCATGATCGCATAGCCTTTTGAATCGAGAGTTCCAGAATTCGATACCTGAAGCATTCACATAGATACCCTCGTAATGACCTTAGGACGGAACAAAAAGTATTCGAGGGGAAGGAAGCGGCTGAGGACGACGAGAATCCGGGGCGGTTCAGACGAGGAGCGCACGCAGCGTCGGCTCGTCGGCGAATGGCCGGCTGCCCGAGAGACGCTTCCAGAATTTCGCACGTACAGTGGTTGACATGAAATTGACAGCTAAACGTGCGAAATTCAAATCTGTCTGCCGACCCCGACACACTCCAATCGTCGTACAAGAAAAAGACGAATATCGATCGGCACGATGGATGCCCGCGCTCAATCTCCACGGCCCTTCGGGTTTGGGGGTCCGTTTTTCCACGCGCACTTCTGACATCGAGCACAATGTGAGCGCATGCTGGGAGGATTTCCCCACAAATTTGTCATTGTTACCCACATGCACATGGAAATGAAAATGATCAGGATCTTCACAATCAATGTACTACATGTACTCGACTACTTTATATCGTTCTTCATGGTGTTATGTCGTCAGTGTTGAATGTGTAGAAATGATCGCTATTAGCGTTGCTTTGATGTTGGGCTTCTCTTGCACAGCAACAGCACTCACGTCGGTAACGGCCAGATTCATTGGAGAGATGTTGTTCTAGCTCGCGCACACGGCAGCGATCACAGATCCCTGAAGCGCACTGCCGCTGGTGTCAAATATCAAAAAGAAGCCAATATGGAGCAGATTCTACCTTTTCCATTCATTTCAACGAAAACTGAAGACGAAAACTTCACAAGAAATCAGGAAATGCTGAAAACGAAATTGTCTTGGCGGCATCTTAATCGATCTATGTAGGGTGACTGATCGAAACCTCCCCGATATTCCCATGCTAGTAAGGTTTAACAGAATTTATTGACGCGGGTGAAAGAGCGTGAACAGTGAATCGACTTTAAAATAACGCTAGACTGCCCTAATTAGTCAGCTAATTGGTGTAGAATCGTAACGCCTGCGATCTCATCGTTCACACTCAAAGAGGAGTTAATACGACAGCATCTCCATTCTGCATAACATAGTTCTTCTTCTGATTATATCTCTCGTAGAGTATAGATAGATACTACAGAAAAATGTTACTAGCAAAATCAATATGCTGTTGAACAACAGGATCACTACGCGATGTCTAGCAACAGCACGATGAAATCCATTCTTACTCATTAAGAGCTATCGAGCTCTTTAGTCGAGAGGTTACGTCGTCCATTACCAGAAAACGATACATGGAAAATTATACACGTGCAAGAAGACGTAAGAAGTTGACCGGAAGTTTTCCTCGTTTTCGCTTTTATGATATTCGTTCTAAGAGCTAAACATGGTGTAGATAACTGTTGCATCTCATCGCCTTTAGTCAACGTTCACAGTCAGGAAGAAATGAGAAATACGATCCAGCTTAGATGTGCCATTGCATAACGGAATAAGAGCCTTAGCAGTTTCAACCACAATATGATTGTCAACAACGAGCCTAGCAATGTTCACGCTAGTGCAGAAAAGTAAGAGTTAATGAACTTGTGTACCCGCTTGTGTATGTTTGATGTTCTAACTAGTGGTGTGTGGAACGAGAAATGGGACAAGTGGCAATGATGGACGCGGTGGTTGGACAGCAATGAAGCTTTAGAGTACCTCCTAAGCCCGAAATTGCACCGAAGAGATCATAGTGGACATTTTATGGTTTACAGCAGGCTGGCTCCATCACCACCTGAGTTCGGGTAGAACGGTAGCGGCGGAGAATCACGCCCAGCAATGTGTTGAGATGCAATAGAAACATCAACGGCTGCTTTGCTTGATGGAAAAGAACCAGTCTTTCTCAATGGTAAGGTGCGGCTACTTGTCCCTCTACCGACGTTCAAACGCTGAACGAGTTAAGATACGAACTAGGGAATGGTAATGGGAGTTCCGAGGTTTTAATTACTGGAATAGGCTTGTTACAAATTCTTCGAATTTTGTCGATACGTAAATCGTTGTCTATGTGTCGTCACTGGAATCGCTGAAGTGTGAGAAAGATGCGAGTCGTAAGATTAAGATTATGGCGGTTCTGTCATATGAAATGTGAATGACTAGAATGAATAGCTGTAATCGTCGTAATCTAACTATCTCACAATTCCAAGAAAAATAAGGAAGCAATTTCGCATAGTTCAAACTTTAGAGGAGGCCTATCGCGTATTCAGTATCCAAGAGAGTATACATCGATAACGAAGCATAGATGATTCGCCCATATATCTGCAAGAACAAATGACAAATATGGGAAAGAAAGAATAGAAAAGACTACTAGAGATACACGTTCGCTGCTTACGTCAACCAACTGCATTGGCAGATGGAAGCGGTTTCTGGATCACTGGATGTGTCTCATACATCACCGTTCGAAGCAACCCATCACCTTGAACCACGACTGCACGATTAGGTAACAAATGTGAAATGTGCCGGAACCCGCACCCGTAGGGAATGCAGGCCATTACTTATCCATGCAAGTGACTGGTAAGTTGCTTATACGCCAGCGCACTCCTGCACATATGCATGAACGTATGTAAATGTAGAAGGAACAGGTCGAATTGCAGCAGTAGGTCCTCCCACTGGATCGATTTTCTTCCTAGGGAGGTACAAAACAGGTCGCTCCTGTCTGTGGTATTTTGGTATTCTACTCACTCCTTAAAAGGTGGTGGAGAGGACAGTGTTAGTGATGCCGACCATCGGCAACACGGTGCCTGTTCCATCGAGCTCCAGGCTCACCAAGCCTCTCACACTTCACTCCAAGTGTGAACGGTTTAGCCAGGCTATCTCAAGACTGCAAGGAAAATCGACTTGACCAGCATTCAAAGACATGCATGATAAATAGAAAATCTTCAAACAACAGCCGAAGCCAGACGCAAAAGTTGGAAGACCTTCGCAGATAATGCATGCAAGGGAACGATTCCAATTTGAGAAGTGTTGGTATCCGCATAGGTTGACATGAAGACCGGTCGTATGAAATAAAAATGATTCACCCTTCCTAGGAACTATCTCATCGTTCTGTTGATCGTGCCACTTCTTTTCTAAGACTCTAATTGAATACAGTTATATATTAGATGTTTTAACCTGTATAGTACTTTTTATACGAAACCGTTTTGATTACAACTTCAATGATGCTGAGATATTTGCAAAACTCCGGACCGCAGGTGTCTGCGGTAGGGAACGAGCGCGCTATTGTCCTTTTCGGGGAGTGACGCGTTCACCACCACACCATGTGGGTCCTTCGTTTCGCCTGTCTCTCAGCTAGTTCTATCGAGCAGTACGGTCAGCAATCACCCGGAATCTTTTGACTATATCTGTTCTTTTTTCTTGTTTCCATAATACACTCAAGAATTACCAGTTTTCTTTGCTTTTTGTTGTTTTTCTTTTTGTGGAAGAGTTTTTGCGGTAAACTGCAAATGGGAGAAGAAAAATAGAAAAAACGAAAGAAAAAAAAGAGAAATAAATAAATAGATAGCAAAATGGAAAATCAGAACGGAACGGGTCAGATCAATGCTTCAATGTTCGAAATTTCATGCCCAACCAATTTCATCACACCTGTGTATATCTTATAATTAGTCATCTATGTAGTAGCATGTTATGGATATCCTTCTGTGAGTTTCAGAAAATTTGTAACTGCAGTAATACTTACTAACTAGTTTATCTCAATATTCACATCAGTCTTGAATATTCCAACGAATCTATTATTAAATCGCACTCGATCCCTTATCAGGACCACTTCCGTCGTCCACCATCCTCCACGTCGATGCTTTCCTCGCACGGCCGTATTTCTGCGTCTTAGTTGGTGCTATTAATCAGAAGACGTCGTCACCTTTGAAGGCCAAATAATGACCACTCGGACAGCCAGCCAGCTGTCGTGTGTAGTAACCTCTTTGAAATAGTAGCTACGCACCCATCAGACTTATAATGAAGCCTCAGCATTATGGCTTAGTGAAGAATAGTGTCAGGCCCTTGGAACAGCAACGAAGAACCGGTATATGAGAATGTGGAGAACGACTTTGTGTTGTAGAACTACTGAACGGTAAAAACTTGGTTTGTATTTCTGTGTTAAGGACTGGTTCAGTCGATCTCCAGTGCAGCCAAAAATTTTCAGTTACGAATCCAGTGAACCTCAATTTGCAATTTTCAGTACACCTTATGATTAAGCATTATATCGGTGGTTTGCTCCGAGCCACTGAATCAAAGCTCAAAGTAAAACAAAGAGCGGTCATTGAACAAATAGCAGCACATTATCAAAGTTTAACACTTGGGCGCGTGTGGCGCAGTGGTCGGAGGCGCTCTGCAGCACACACGTGAAATCGATCTCCGCGCCCATGGCCCACCAAGCCTTCCATCCCTCTGGGGTCGGCAAATTGGTACCAGACTTGTCTGGGAAGCTGAAAGCACTGGCTCGATACATCGGTAGGCCACCGTCATTGTAAAGGGCAGATATGCATTCATTCACCTTCAAACGATGCTTAATGAAGTAGAATGCATGGCGCATTCCTCAGGGATTGATCAACGCCGAGAGTTTCATCCTTCATCTTTTATGACCCATCTTCAAATCTAAAGTGCTGATCCTAGCACTTGAATTCTATGCGCTCCGTCAAATCCATCATCCACGAAGGTATTCGGTCTTTTCACTTGGGCAGCTGCATGAGGATTTTTTGTCTTCTTTATGAATTTCGTTAAATGCTGGTCGAGTCCATTCTTCTCCAAGTCTTGGTATAGCTGTGGTTTATCACGGATTTAAGGGAGTAAGTTGGACCGAGACAAGTCTTATAGTAATTTTTCGGCCCCGGAGCGTTGAGGAGCTTGATTGAACTTAGGCCGGATCGAAGCAGCATGGTGATCGTCATGAAGAGCACCAGCACCACTACAGTGCTTGCTTATTCCATCAAAAATTGAGTTCAGAAATTGTTAATCTTCATTGTAATTCATGTAACTTAAATCAGTAATGTAGATGCTGGACGTCAATAGACGGTCTGGAAGTATAAAGAGAACG